ACATGCCTATTGAAGCTATTGCAGATAGTGTGGTCTTTGACACGAATCCATAGTTTTGGAGACATTTGTACTAGACAGTGACTCGGAGTATGGATTTACTAGTGGTCGAGGTTTTTTGAATTTTCTTGGATAACTACTGACTGCAGCACTTATATCCACCTCGTGGATTGAAGCCTCGAGAATGCTCTACCATTTGTTAGTCATAAATGTTACCTATGAATTTTTCAGAAAAAAAGAAAATTTTAGAAAGAGTGTTGCAGAACTTTCTTCCCAACCTAATAGTTCCCAAAGTCATCAGCAGGTTTTCTTTTATCACCTTTTTGTGTTGCTATTTTTACCCTTTTTCGTTGCTTTTTTGAGTCTGAAACTTAGAAGTTACGTAATAAGTGGGAGACTTTCCATGAACTTTGCCCTGTCGGCTTCTGAGCCCTTTACTCTCCACGGAGTCACCCACCTCTTCAAAAAATGAGAAGAGTGTGGCGTGCAGACCATACACCACAAGTGACGACGGCTTCCACAAAATGCAAATGTTTTATTCTATCAGTTGTCACTAATTACAACTATCATTTACCAAAAATCAGCTATCACTATGAACCACTACTAACCAGATTTACTTGGAGGCCGTCGTCACTTGTGGTGTATGGTCTGCACCCGACGCTCTTCTCGTTTTTGAAAAGTATGTACTTTGGTGTAGCTATTTTCAACTACTTCCTTGCCTGTTGACACATATTTGAATATGGTTGTGCATTGAAGAATAGAAATCGAATTTCATGCTCAGTCAAGTGGGAGACTCATGAGGGTGGGACCAGGAAGTGTTTCTCCCCCGTCTGTAAGAGAACTCCTTGCGGAAGTGTTGATGGAAAACCTTCAAAGCTTTCTTCGTTCTGAAGGGATGGTACCTATTGTCTTTAAAAGCAAAGTTTGGGATTTTGGTCGAAATTTAGCTTTTCCCCGTGGTACGTCTGGGTATGCAGTGGTACGTAAGGGTAGAGCATGTGCAGACGCAGCGTGGTGGTTTGACAAGGCCAAGGCGCCAAGAGCCAAGGACGGAACATTGGTGACGCCCTAGCCCATTGAGCCCGTCCACTGTTTTACGTGACCTTCCAAACAACCACCTGGAACGGTAGATTTTAAGCTGTAACTTCGTAACGTACTTCAAGCTGAGTTGCGAAGCTGCGGAATATTTGCTGGATTCGAATGGCGAATTTCAGCACCAAAGCCTCCGAGATCGTTGTCATTCATTCTAGTGAAAATCAAGTTTTCAAGATGGGAAGCAAGCAAAAAAAGCACAGATAAACAGAAAAATAGGAAAATCAAAAAGAATCAGTTCTTATTGCTGAGTTTTTATGGCTTTGTTGTTGGCATAGCGCCAGCAAATGTTGTAAACGTATCAGACACCGTAGTTCCCAAGCCCCTGGCCCTGTAAGTAAATAACCTGAAACGGGACCCCTAGAATACCTTAGGACTCTTTAGGTATTTCTGCTTTGTCTTGGCGAACTTGACTCACCGCACTGTGCATCGATAGACACACTAGGCAAGAGTACCAGAGTCCTGTAACGTCGAGGAAGTCGAAGGCTTACGGACGCATCTATTTTGGATAATAATAGCTTGGTGGCTTAACGGAACTAATGGGCTACATATTAAATATGCAATTCATTATTTATTATTTTTATTTCTTAATAATTAATTAGTTTATTTATTTATCTATTTATTTTTATTGTGCACCGTAGTTGCAGCGCAATATTTCTTAGAATAGGATAAACTGTCCCAAAAAAGTCGAACTAGTGAATGTACCCTCCCTTCAAATGACCAGAAATTGTGCAATTGCAGAAATTGACGTGGCATTGGCACACGTGGCTAAATTCTCGATGAAAAGGTGACATCACGTGTGCTCAAAGATGTTCTTGAATCGATGCCACGTTAATGCCACGTCAATTTCTGCAATTGCACAATTTCTGGTCATTTGAAGGCGAGGGTACTTAATTACTGCCCTTAGCATACATTTCTTAGCCGGAAACACGAAAAATCGCACATATTGTTTATCCCTAACACGAACTGTCCAAAGAAGAAGCGTTAAATCCAACGCCTGTTGTGTGCGGTCATAAAGAGCCCAGCCTATTACTTAAATCAAATAGTAAGAGGTTCGTTCCTTGTGTCCAGGGCGAGAGATGCTCTGCCGCAACGGTCTGGCTTACACTCTGAGTATCTTATAACGAAACGCACCCATTCGAGTTATTTTACGGTTCTGATGACTTTCCAGGTGACCGCATCGGAATTCTAATCAAAAGGACAACATCGTGAAGGAAACTCGTGATGAACCCCGATTTCCTTAAAGTTTACTCTAAGTACATACATAGGGATAATGAGTCGAGTAAAGCCGAGGACGTAACCGAACAGAAAGTCTGTGCCTCTTCCATACCGAATATGAATGATGAAAATCGGCGCTACTTTTGAATGAACAATTACCGAAATAATAATTCATCTTTTATGCTCAAAGTTTCACAATCGATATACCGACAGAAAACAAACACACAGCGCGCCACTATTGAATTGTTAAGGATCGATAATCGATTTATTTCACCCAGTCGGCCTTCGCTTTCTCTTTGCCTTCCTGAAATTACAGATTACACTTCAACAAAAAACGAAATCCTTCCGGATTTACCATAAATAGCAAAGTGATCAACTGCGAGAGTTAGAGCAGGGTCATCGCCGTACCGCACTATTCGAACGCCCGAGTCGTATTTGAGATCTCCGGAAAGGAGGATGGGCGTTGGGTCGCCTTTTAAGGCGTGAATATGACGCAACCCATAAGTGGGACAACGGAGGTTGTGGTTGGACGCATTTTAAGAGAATTTGTGGGAAAGTGAGAATCAAGGCAAATCTGATGGATGCCGTTTCATGATACTGACGATACTAATTTATTTCTCCCCTGCTCAACGGCCGTTTCGGAGAAAAGGGAGGGAAAAGTGTATGGAGTGTGTCGGCTGGTCTCAGAATCGAATAGTATATATAGAAACCATGATGGTAGTGAGGGTGGTGGTCGGAGGCGGGGAAAGGGGATCATATTGGGGAGTTTCTTAAGACTGATGGCGCTGGTGGGGGTTGCATCGAACTCCAGTAAAAGGGGGGGGGGGGCGGAAATTTTTTTGAAAAAGTGCGAACGTGACGGTTAACCCTGGCTCAGAGCTCAAGGAAGGGGATGCGGTGCTTGTCAAGGGAAGGCTTGCTTGCGAACTGTCACTTCTCTCCGCCTAGTGACTGACTTCTGAGAATCATCACCTTTCCCAGTAGTGCTTGGGTTCTTTCGAATAATAGCAGCCAACCTCTCTGGTCCCATCAAGTCCACGTAAAACTTATTGATCGATTGATCTTCGGAATCGAAGGGCCGGTTCTGGCCAGCTTAGGGTGAAACGTGAAACGCTCAAGTGAAGCTTAGGGTGTAGGAGGGTTCCTTTTGCAATTGGAAATCTCGAATACAAATCCACTATCTGATCCCTCAATGTCCGAACTTCGATTACCCGGAAGCCTCCTCTCCCGAGGCAGGAGCTGGGGTCCCAAACCTCTTCCTCAAAAAATGTACTTTGAGCAGTGGTATTGATTTTGCGCGCACAATCGAAGCCGATACCCACTTAAGAGCTCTTTTTGGTGTTATTTTCAGAACACTAGTGGTTGGTCTATCACCCAATTTTATAGAAACTTTCTTTTCCACGGTCGGCATGTCGTCAGTAGAAATTGAGCAGCACACGCGGTGACGGAAGGCCTTGAAAAAACTGTTGTCACGGATGCTTTTTTGTACTTTTGACGCTATCTGATGCTACCCACTTTATTGCTAAGTCCGCAATTACGGACATACCTAACGGCAGAAACGTTGACATATATATTGAAGAGATGGCCGCGTGAAAGTAATCTCAGTCATGGCGGAAACTGGCACTAGGAAATGTGGAACTCGGAATTCTGCTCCTCGATGGTCCTGCACGCATAAATCTAGTTCTCGCGACTCATACATGGGAAGCGAAGCAGTTTAGCACTGCTGTAGATGAAATAGCCGCAACTGCGTATTCTGAGTGCCCGGCCTACAATCTTGTAAACTCAGGAACGTAGGATGGTATACCGTAACCCACAATAACGCCAGGCCGCGCGCGCCCCAGTGCCACCCTCGAGTACGTTACGGTATACCGCCCTATGTTCCCGAACTTATAATCTTCTGCTCGGCCTTACCTCTTCCATAGCGAACTGGTTCTTGTCGACTTGCTTCAGGTTGGAACGGAAATCGACTTTGGCGGCTTCTTTCTTCTTCAGCTTATCAAACTTACCCTCAGTCTTTGACACTTTCTTCAGTGTAGGCTTCACGCTGAAATTTTGAATAATTGCCATTTTTTCTATCGCATATTGAGGGATGACGTCATAGATTCGTACAATTTTCCACGAAGATCGTTCACTGCAATGGTGAGCTCGTTGATTTCAAAATCTTTCTGTCGTACTGTGTACGATACGTCGTAGTTCTCGCTTTCCAAGGCAATTAGACGTTCGCGCATCTGATTGTAGACTTCCTCAAGATCATCTGAAAAGGAGAATCTTATCAGAAGAGTTGGCCAACCATCTGCAATTGAGTATTTCTGAATTTTTCATAAGAAATTTAACAGAGACTCCCTTCTACTCGGCTAAAAGAAAGGCTTTGGGGCCCCCTTGTGCCCTCGAAATTCCGGGGTTTGTTGGAAATTCCATAGCTGCAAAAAGACTGGCAGAACTGAGATCCTCCAAGAGCTAGGAGATTTCCTCCTGGTTCGGGGAGTAAATCTTAGGAGTAATCCCATAACAAACACCACCTGCCAAGCAAAAACGCTTGAAAATTCGCTCGAAGGAAAATCACTCAGCGATAACTTGAAATTTAGAGAAAGCTGAACGGGAATAGGTAGGCTGCAACATATGACGTGCAGGACTCATAATTTAGAATTCCAGCTAATCTATAACTGGGCGCTATTGCAATACAACGGAGGCACTGTGGTGGCTCAATTCATTTGAAACCGCGTAAGACGAGTCTTCTTGATTAAAAACTGAACTAAGCCTCAAGCGGCTTTGAATAGACTCCAAGGTGCGTTAGCCATCTTCAATTTACCAAAGTTTTGCCCCTCCTAGAATCAGTCTAGAGGATCCCCATCTCCAATTGTCTCCAATTGTTCACACAAATGTTCACGCGACCTTTTTCAACACCCCGTTCCTCTTTCCCCCCCCCCCACGAAATGATCTTCAAATGAAGATGCGAACCGCATTCATCGAGATCCGGCAGCGGAATGATTCGCTCTTGAAGTATACGCTGTCGTTCCTGTTCCTTGAGCATTTGCTGCTGTGCTTCAGATCCTCGGCGGCTTTCATCATCAACAGTTTCTAAA